CAGCAGGACTTCCTCACGTAAACATGTTCCGGACATTGCAGGCGCCCTCCGAGCAGTTCAAGCCATCCTCCCCAAACTTGAAGTCAAGATGATTGAATTCTTAGCTGAATGGATGGTAACTCTGTTAATGCTAGCCAGGCACGAAATGGAAGTGAGGGCACCTCATCTTTCCTTCATGATGCTCAAGGAATACTGGTTCAAGGAACTTTACTTAGGCCTGAAAGTCACAGCGTCCTTTGACCGCTCTGAGTCATATACCAGAGTGATCGATGGCCAGGTAAGATGCATCACGCCTGAAGTGAAGCCGCAGAATTTGCAAGTCATTTGGAATGTGCAGTTCATCACAGTCTTTGTGCCGGCATGGATGATCCCGCCTGTCTATCATAGCCTACGCAGAGAAAGCATCAAAACTGTGAGTTCTGGCAGCCCCATAGGAGTCCAGTCAGTCCGCCCTACTTGGTTTGAGGACACAACACCTAAGGACCCTACCTCTCAGCAATCTCAAGACCCTTACAAGGAGCAAGCCCAGCCACTTCATGGTCTTGAGTTAGTCATCAAAGAAGAAGTGTTACCAGCGACTGACCAACCGTAATTCCAGTCGCTTGAGCTATTGGCTAGTAGGGGCCTGTTGGCACCTGATACATGGAAGTGCAAACGTGCACAAGTCAGCCTGCAAGCAACTATTGATGTCCCCATGTTGGGTACAATCATAGAGCAAAATGGCGATGGGCTTCTGGAAGACTCCCACATGCCAGTAGGATGGCCACTCCACATCGATGGCGCTGTCAGACAATGTTGCATTCACAGAACTGCTTAGTTTGCAAGAATTAGACGATATGCTCAAGGAATACGACATGAAACGAGATTCTGTTAAAATCAACCATGACGCGCCTCAATGGTCCCATCATGCAGTGTGGAACCGCAAGTATATGGAACCAAGACCTGGATATGCGCTGGAACAGCTATGGACTGACTCCGAACCTGCAATTAATAAAAACGACCACTTCCTATGAAGTACAGGCAGATGACCTTCAGCGTGCCGTATCGGCCATTCGGCATTTTGCATGTCAAAGGGTCGGAGTGCTGGGAGGACCGCCTCAGGCAGTCAAAATTCTATGCATCTTTTTCAAGCCCAAAATGGGCATCAAACAAATCGAACAGTTTAGTGACATCATCCAGAGCCACCTCTCTTACGGATCGCTGGAGTCATGAAATCCCGAAACTGCAAACCGTCTGAAATATATTGTATTTTTTTGTCCGAGCCCGTTGCCTTTCGGCGAGTCTACGGTCTGGAGTCTCACTCGCGGACCAGCGGGGAATCGAACCGCCACCGGAAGTCTGTCAGCACCACAAGAGTGATGCCCAACCAACTTCACCACGAGGACGACTCGTCTGAAATATATTCTATTGTTGTAAAAACTGAAAAACAAATCGAACAGTTCTATAAGATCATCTTTCGCATCTCGCAGTTTCTTGCGGAGTCGTCTGGAACCACAAAAATTGGAGCTCTTTCAATTCTTTCCCCTTGTAAATGGGTTTCAGCAGGTGTTCCGTTCCGACTCCGGCAAGACTTCGCAGCCAAAGACATGAAAACAGGGGTGGTAAAACAAGGTCGGAGACGGCAGGGCTGAATTCCCGAACATTGAAGACACAACCGTGCTCGCAGCATTTGCTTTTCCACCATCCTTCCTGACGCGACCAACATGCTCAGTGAAAAGCAACTGCACCTCATCCGATACCGACGATCGATGGATAAATACAATTAGTTTGGTTTTCTGGACGCGAGTCCTCTCCAGTGATTGCCGGCAGACCTGCGATGCAAGACTTCGAAGGCAGCACCAGCTTTTCCAACGGCCTCTTTGCCATCACGACAGCAACTGACGGGTCGTAATTTGACAGTGCACGGGTCGTAATTTCAACTGCGAGGGTCGTAATCTGTCACAGACAAGGGAATCAGCCAGTCGTAATTTGCGAGCGCACGGGTCATAATTTTATGTATGAGGGTCGTAATGTGTCACAGACAAGGGGACTAGCGGGTCGTTGCTTTTGACAGTGCAAGGGTCGTACTTTCAAGTGCGAGCATCGTAATCTGCAGAGACAAGGGGATTGGGATCGTAATTTGACAATGCGAGAGTAATTTTCAAGTGTGAAGGTCATAATTCACAATCTGTCAAAGCCATTTTTTTTCCGTCCAACGCCTTCATGGCTTCCGCCAGGTCGTTCAACATGTTTGAAAGCATGTTGCATTTGGTATTAATTGATTAATTAAGTCGCAAAGGCTGTGGAAATATGGTATCGCCTTATGCCGCTGAGTTCTGCACAGTTTTGGTCACAGTGATTTTCACCATCAATGGTGTCTATGGTGAGAAGTTACAACGGTTTTGCCTGCAATAGGCATTTTGGAAGCATTTGCTCATCAAGATGAAGCAAATGGGAAATTTCGTCATCAATGATTTGGTGATGACCAGGTTTGCCTGTTACAGGCGCTTTTGGGAAGTTTGACGAGATTCGCTCATCAGAGCGGAGCAAACGAAAACATTTCATCACCAATGGTTTGGTGACTTCAATGTTTTGCCACGTTTTCATGGAGATCCAAGCTGGAAGAATATTTTGTATAGGAGTTTGGACTTTGTGATTTTTGGCTGGAAAGGAGTTTTGATGACATGCGTCATCGCCTCTGAGTTTCGAGAACTTTACAATGGAGGTTGTGAAGATTCAGATGAGTGTGGGTGATGTTTTATCACCGTTTTGTATGCTGGAAGGACAAGTGATGCGAGTTTGGACATTTCAGCGATGAGACATTGGTTTTGCATGCATGGAAACAAGTTTTAAACCAATGAGTTTTTTTGAAACAAATCGAAAACAAACAACCTGTACAAACGAGTTTTCGATGTGTTTTTGCCGAGATAGCAGTTTTCAGTTAGCAGAAGCTGTGGCGAACGTTTTGGTTTGGATGTCAGAGAACATCCACTCAGAGATGTGTGCGTGTGAACGCATTTTTCGTCTCAAAGGGAACAGAGCTCAACAGGAGCCAAGCTTGGTTCAAAGTAGGGCCACAACAGAAGCACCATAGAGAACAGCACAGACAGCTTGTTGTTTCCTTCGGTTCGCTGGAGCAAAAGTCGGAACGTGAGTGACGGACTGTGTGTTTGAGTGGAAGGTTTTTTTTGAGTTTGTTAGTGGGTGTTTTCGCCCTTGCTGCCGACCCCAGGGTTTTTGCGTTGCGTCGCGTAGGTAACTTGGGTCTCTGGATTTTCACATGGTAGCGGAGCTGTGTGCTCCTAGGCCTAGTCAGGTGAAGGTTTAGGATGCAGCAAAACGGTCCAGGTATGCCCCAAGGGTTGCAAGCAGATGTAACTAGGGAGGCTAGAGGTATGGACCCAAGTTCACCAACACAAATGGAGCAAGGATACAACACAAGGTTGCCACCAAGTACGTCGTCACTTAGTTCCCCAGAGCGAAGCGAAGGCTCAGGTTTGCCAGGTTTAGGCGCGAGACAAGCTGCGCAAAACCTTAGCTCATGTCATGGACAGCAGCAACAACAACAGCCACAACAACAGCAGCAAGCAATGCAACAAGGTCAGTGCCCACAAGCTGCAGCGCCGAGCTTAGTTGAGAGTCAGTTTCTTAGTTGTGCACCGGGCTTAGCACAATGGCCAAGCATGACAGCTGTTCCACCTAGTGTGACTGGACAATGTTCGCAAGGATCTCAGAATGGACCGCATGGATGTTGTGGTACGATGGGAAATGCTGTAGGTTTTTGTCCACAAGGATGTTTTCAGAGACCAGGGTTCCCTCCAATGAGTGCGATTCCAGGACAAGGCTGTTTACCTTTTGGGAATTCACCGCAGACCAGTTTGGGACCCCAGTTGAATCAACCACCGATAGGAAATATGTTTCCTGGAGTAGGATTGAAAGATGTTGTGAGTGCAGCTTCGAACTTAGACAGTGCCCAGATCTTAGCGTTGACTCAGTGGTGCCAAGAGCAGGTGAGGCAAAGAGCACAAGCTGTGCCATCTAGGTTTGGTGAAGTGAACAGAGTGCCGTCAGAACCATTCATGCCAGACTTTCATGGGGCCGGTCTTCCGCTTCCGAGCGGCATGTGTGAAGGGTTGAGTCGAAGTGATGTGAGAATGGATGGACACCAGACAGCGTCTCAGGACGTCTTTTCTAGGACGGAAAAGTGGCTTGGTGTTCCACCGCAACCGCAGTTCTCTACGTGGGTGAACCGAGAATCAGAGGTGTTGGGATTTTCCCAATACTATACGGATTTGGCCAGTTGGGCCTCACAGGCAAGTCTGGAATTTGGACAAGAAATACTTCAGGCAGGAAAGTGGCCGGTTTCGATTTCATGGTCCTCGATGACGATTGCAATGAGGTCAAGGTCGATGAGACTTTTAGCCATTCTGAAAAGCAGTTTTCAGGGTCACCCCAGAACGTCGAACCTCATACATGCCTACATGGAAGGTATTCAGGTGAGTTCAGGTTTGCCGGAAGTTTCCAGAGAGCAAGACTGTAACGGGTATGAACTTCTAAGACAGCTGGCACGGGAATACTCTTTGAGAAGTCGTGGAGAAGCTCTTGCATTTCGGACTTCGTTAGCAACCAAGACCTTTGTTGTGCCTTCCAATGAAACCTCTCCGTCCTCAATGGTCAGCGATACAATTCGCCGCATTGAGCTTGAGTGTGCCAAGTACCAGAGGTTGCTGAGCAGTTTGCCTTCGAGTGTGGATCCCGTTGGACTACAGGTTTCAGATGCCGATATGCTGATGATGCTGGTAAGATCGCTTCCAGATTCAGCTCGCTCCTTCGCCCTACATCATGCCAGTGGTGAGAGTTACCAGGCCTATCGGGAGGCTGCTCGGAGATTTGAACAACAACAGAGATTATTTTTGGACATTGGTCATGTGAAAGGTTTGAACCAGGTTGAGTTTGTTGGACAAGATGGAGAAACTCAATGGTTTGACATGGCTAATGGGGATGACGCATGGGAACATGGAATGAACGCAGTTCAAAATGGAAAATGCACCAAATGTGGCAGTAAGAAACATGAAACGAAAGACTGTAGCGTAGATCTAAGCAAGGTTCGGTGTTTCAGATGTTCGCAGTATGGCCATGTAGGAGTCAACTGCCCCAACAAAAGTGGATCCGGAGTTTCAAAAGGATCACCAAAAGGCAAAGGAAAGGAGAACACAGGAAAAGGAAAAGGAGTCTCCAAAGGAGATCAGTGGAAGAAAGGTAAGTCAAAAGGAAAAGGCAAGTCCACCAAAGGAAAGAAGGGTAAGCTCAATGAAACGTCAGAGGAGTGGGACCCGGAGGAGTCCTGGTGGTGGAATGAAAATGACTGGTGGGGTGCAGATGGATGGCAGGAATCCGGAGTAGCCCAAGTTTGGGACGATAGCTATGACTGGAACCAATCAATGGGAAGTTGGACACAGTATCGGGAGGATGAACCTCAAAACTTGGAAAATGCACCCACTGGAAACGGAAACGAACAGACAGTTGGAAGTTTGATTTTTGCACCGATGCTTCATGTGATGTCAGAAACAAACGCAAACGGTTGTCAGACATGTGTTGTTTGTGCGAGAGATGTTTTGGATAACAGTTTGTTTTGTTCAACATGTGCTGGTATTTCGTTTGAGGGTTTTGACAAATTCGACAACAGTGATATTTTTGAACAACAACCTGTTTTTGAAAATGGTTTGAACGACAGTGACAAGTTTCCAGGTCTTGAAGAGTCTTGGAAATTCCGTCCAGGACTGGTTGGGGATTTGTCGGGTGCTGAAGATGCCGCAGTTTCTTTGGTTTCTCCTGCGTGTGCCAGAGTTCAGGTTTTTAAGCCTGCAGTTTCCACCTTCTTGGACCTTCCTGCAAATGATACGTGCTCCCTGTCTCAACGTTTGTCAGTTTGGTCACCGCTTGTCGCTCCACTTTTGTCCCACATGACCTATGAGGATGCTTCCTGGTGGTTGCTGGATAGTGGTGCCAGTGCGACTGTCCTTGCTGAGTCGTGCATGCGAGCGTTTGGGATTGATGAGCCGTTGGATGTGGGAATGCCTAATTTCAAAACTGCCAATGGTGGGGACGTTGGTATGCGTGGGATTGCCAGTCTGCAGGTGTCCATGCTTGTGTCTGAAAAAGGAAAACAAGGGTTGCCGCCAGTTTGGAAAAAGGCCAAGATGCATGTTTTGGTTGGTAGGATTCAGCACAACATACTGTCAACCATCCTTTTGTGTCAGTCCGGATGGTATTTTTCGCAAACACCAGACAGTTTTTCGTTGAAACACAAAGACGGTGCAACCATGATGGAAGTTTCATACTTTTGTGGTTGTCCCTGGGTACGTTTGCATCCATGGAAAAGTTTGGACGAGGACTGGATGAACCACAAGTTTGCTCTTTCTGGTTTAGCTGAGGGTTCACAACAATCGGAATCATGTTTGTGTCCTGTTTCAAAATCAGAACAAGTCGATCTAGCCACACATAGACGACAGGGTCATACTCCCCATCACCCAGCCTGCAGTGAGTGCGCCAGAGGGCATTCAACTTTTCAGCACCGCCGCAGAACAGCCAAAGGTTTGTCGACTGAGTTTCAGGCGGATTTCTGTTGGCTCAAAAAGGAAGGGGAAGTTCTGGACCACATGGAGAACCAGGAGAACCTTAAGATTTTGGTTGTTGTGGAATTGGCCACAAACAATGTGGGCTACATCGTCATTGGGGAAGACAAGAATGCAATTTACTCTCAGATCAACCAGTACTTGCAGCAATGTGGAATTTCATCAACAAGCACGTCAGTTTTGATACACACGGATGCAGAGAAAGCTGTTGGAGAACTCTTCACAAAATCAGGATCTCAGTTTTCTTTCGCGGTCCGCCGCTCCAATCCGCAGCAACACCAGTCGACAGGAGGTGCTGAGAGATGTGTCAGAAGGTTGAAGGAGAGTCTTTCAATCTTGAGAGCAGACATGTCGAAGTGTGGAGTTGACATTAAGTTTGCACATGAGCCGGTTCAGACCGCCCTCACATACCTGTCGCTGTGCCATAACCATTTCAGTAAGACACCAGGTACCGACCTTAGTCCTCTTGAGAATGCATGTGGTAGGAGACTGTCCAAACCAACATCTTCGTTGTTTTGTACAACTGTCATGGCTGAGTTACCAGATTCAGTGAAACAGAGAGTTCCAAACGAAACGAGACTGATTGAAGCAGCCTTTTTTACATTGTGGGACCTCTCATGGACCAGTTGTGCAAGGGAAGGTACGTTTGGATGGAGTTCTCACCTTGGTTCGGTTTACAGCTAGGAATGTACGAGTTGTAGAACCTTTGAAATGGGATTTGGAGTTGTGCAGTGAGTTTTTGTATCAGACTGGAGAATCCCCCGAACGAAAACGGATTGTAGCAGCTGAGTCTGGACCTCAGGATGAAATAAAACCACCTGAAGATGGGGACGAACAGGTTTTAGAAAGAGAACCAATGGGATCATCTTCAAGGCAACAGGTTTCATCAGGTCCTGTAGGAGTTGCACCGAAATCCAGTTTAAGTGGGGGTACAGGGAAACAAGTTGAGTCACCAGATTCACAAAAGGGTCAACGTGTTTCATTTGCGGAGAGTTCCAGGGTTTTTCAGAAAACAAGACGTTGTCCTGCTTGTGAAAGTGGGATGGATGCACCTGGCAGCCGTCACAACGCTGAGTGCAAACGTCGTCGGAAGGCTTTTGAAGCACAGAATAGCCCAGAGTCAGTCTCTTCACCTGGTGCCTCAACGGAAGTGCATTCGCCGTCCACACCAGAGAGATTTGTAGATGCACCTGTTGATGGTGGTACTCCAACTCAAGGACAGGAATTGGACACTAGGGTTGATGTAGATGGTGATACAAACATGCCTGAAGTCGGACTTGAAAGCCCCACTCCGGTGGGCGACATGGATTCGTCAAGTGTTGGGGATGATCGGAAACGCACTGCAGATGTTGATGTTTCAGATTTGGAAAAGCAAATTCGGGAAGATCCGATGATGGATAGTTTGTTTGTTCATCAGGAACCAGAATGGTGTTGTTCGATGTCATGTCAGCCTTTGCAACAGCTAGGAGAAACAGATGAAAATGGGTTTCAACGGATTACTTCACCCGAACTATTTTCCAGTGACGAAACAGTTTCTGCAATTCAGTTTCGACCTGACACTAGGCATGAAAGTGTTACTGTGAGACTTGGTGGTGGTAAGGTGAGAGTTTGGAAACCAGACACCATCATCGACGATCAAACGTTGGAGTCCTTGGACACCAATTTGGGTTTTGAAGGAATGCAGGAAGAAGTCAACAATTTAGAGGCTTGTCAGACTGGAGACCTGCTGAGCGAAGCAGAAGCTAAGGCAGTTCAGAAGGTCAACAAGTCGGCCAGGGTCATTGGAGCTCGTTGGGTTTGTGCGTTTAAATCAGCAATCAGAGTCAGATGTCGCATTGTCGCCAAAGACCTAGCTCGTGGAACCAGTGCTAGAAAGATGGGGTATTCAAGCCCTACACCATCTTGTGAGTCTTTGCACCTGATGTTGATTCTATGTGCCAGGCTGAATCTTTTCTTGAGATCGTTGGACATCTCTCATGCCTTTATGCACAGTCCTCTCGAGGATCAGATCGTTCTGCTACGATTGCCGCTTTCAGTGAGTCTGTGTGACGGCTCAGTTGCCTTTTTGAAGTTGAAGAGAGCCCTGAATGGGCTGAGAGACGCCTCCTTAGCTTGGCTTCGCCTTCTTGCAGGAACAATTCAAGGACAAGGGTTATGGAGTGACACTTTGGAGCCATGTTTTTACCAAGGAAAAGTTTTGGACTCAAAGGGGAATGAGCTGGGAATTGCCATGTTGTTAGTGTACGTAGATGACATTCTGTTGGCAACGTCTTGTGAAAGAACGGAATCTGTCATTTGCGATGCAATTTCAAAGGTTGTTCCAACGAAAACGACAGGCAGAATCTTACCTTCACACCTGGGAGGTGGTCAACTCAGTTTCATTGGTAGGACACTGTTCAGAAACCCGGAAGAGTCAGCTATTCACATTTTGGTAAATCCGTCTTATTTGGATTCAACTTTCAAGGAGTTTGGTATTTCAAAGGGTTCAGATGCAGCACCCAACATTGCTGAACACTTGGAGAAAACAGTTTCAGACAAAGAGGCAATGAAGCCCCTTTCAACTGAAGGATACCAACGTTTTCGCAGAGCTGTAGGGAAAATCATGTGGATGTGCCAGTCACGTCATGATCTCAAGCTTTACATGTCACTGTTAGGAACCCAACAGCAGTCACCATGTCAGGGAACGGAAGCAGCACTTCGAGGTCTTTTGAGATTCTTGAAAAACGACATGAATGTTACGTTGCGGCTTCCATCAGAGAGTTCGGATGCTTTGACTGCCGAAGGTTACTCACCTAGCAGCTTGATGGTGCACAGCTTCAGTGACGCATCGCATGGACCTTGGAGGTTCAACTCAAGGCGGGGTGTCACAGGCGGGGTTGTGACATTTCAGAACGGTGTGGTTCGGACCTTAGCCAGACAACAGCAAAGTACGGCCCTTAGCAGCTGTGAGTCAGAATTGTACGCGTTACAGTTAGTCAGCCAAGAGAGTGTAGCACTGTCCAGACTCATTCAAAGGGTTGTATCTGGTTTGGGATGGCAACACGAAGGTGAGATTGTTCCAATTGTCATGGAAAGCGACAGCAGCTCAGCAATCCAGTTGGTTCAGGGAATAGATTTACCAAAACGGTCCAGACACATAGAGATTCGGTTGGAATGGTTGAGAGACAAACTGAAGAGTGAAGAAATTACTCTGATTCATAAACAAGGGGTTGAGAATGTTGCAGACCTTTTCACAAAATGTTTGCCTTCAAAGGACTTTTATCGACACCGCAGTACCCTTGGAATTGACAGAGTTGGTTTTCCTGTGCAAGATTTGGCAGAGTTGTTTGTTGAGGCCATGCCCAAAAGAACTGCATACTATGCATTCCTTGAAGTCTGTTGCGACAAGGATTCAGCTTTGAAAAGGGCATGTTCCACCTCGGGTTTTAGGTATTTGGGAGTTTCATCAAACATGGAGATGCTTGGGGTTCAACGAAGAGTTCGGGATTTTGTAGAACAACAGAAAACGGAAGGTTTGTTGGTTCATGTACATGTTTCCACACCATGTGCAACTGGGTCCCCTCTTCGGAATTTCCATGCAGGAGTTGGTGAGACTGAGACATGGAAGATAGTCATGTCGTCCGCTTCGTTTTACCTTAGCCTGGGTGACCAAGCGTCATTCGAACTGCCGAAGCACAACCAGGTTTGGGATCGTGAACTTACTCACAAGACTCTTGAAAGGAGTGGTTTGATTTTCTCAGGAGCAGTACGACTGTGCAAAACTGGTTTGATCGGAAAGAGCTGTCTACCAATTGGCAAGCAGCTACGTTTCGTTTCAACGTCCGGAGCTTTTGTGACGAGCTTAGAAAGGAGATTTGGTCAGTGCGACTGTCCGGAACATGCAGCGTTGAACGAAGTCCATTTTGGGAAAACAGCTTTATACAGTCCAGTTTTAGCCAGGGGAATTTTGAATGCCATGAAAGAAGTTTCACTAGGCGCTAGCCTTGTTACCTTATCAACTCGCAGGTGTGGCGTGCACCACCTCAACCAAAAAAAAAAAAACCTGAACCCCCCCCCCCCAAAAAAAAAAGTAGGAGGGGTTGGAGGCGAGAAGAAACACTCTGTGTTTGCGAGAGACTTTTTGTTTGTGTTTCTTTTTAACTTCTGTTTCGTTTGAACCCCAACTGTTTGAAACATTCAACCTGGTTTGTGGAATGTTTGTTATCTGGGGTCACTGCGTAATCTGTGAGTGATGCAGTTTCCCCTCAAGTGAGCTCGTTGGCAGTTGGCCAACTGTTTTTGTTCCCGTTCATACGTTGATGCCCGCGGCCTTCCGCACTGCATCGGCTCTCCAGAAGGGGCTGGCTGCACTTCGGACTCCATCAGTGCATGTGTCATTCAATTCTTTTCCACTTTTGGTCTGCTGTGGCATTTTGTCATTCACTGTGGGATTTTTCGCAGCCATTGCCTATTTACTTTGGTTTGAAAGTGGGGATGAGCTGTAATGACATGGATGCTTATGAATCGCATTTGGCTTTTTCAAAACGTGCAGTGTGGGGGTCAATTTTCAATCCAATTTATGTTGCGCGCCCTCCAATTTCAGTTCCTGGCAGCAGTATACCTCTGGTTCCAAAGCCTTGTGGAGTGATCGCAGTGGCCACCCCTGAGCATGAAGGTGATGACGAAGCTTCTGACAGACCTGAGGCATTGAGGATCTTCAGAGCCAAGAGAACTGTGACAGGACGTTCCTGGGAGGCCTTGCTCAATTCTCAGCGGGTTGCAGCGATTCGGAAGTGGGCTGGAATCATTATGATGTATTTGAATTCATTTGAAATTGGCAGACAGTGGGACCGCTTGTCACCTATGGGACAGGCCTTGGGTGATGGTCTGAAGCACATTTTTGCAGGTAAGGCTACAGGAACTCTGCATGCGCGTGCAAGCCCAGTCCTGCGGTATATCATGTGGTGTGACAAGAACGGCATTCCAGCATTTCCTTTGGTTGAGGCTACGGTTTACAATTTCATGTGTGAACATGCTGACACTTCTGCACCAACATTTCTACGGTCTTATTTGGTTGCAATCAGGTTTTCTTTCCATGTCCTTGGGGTTACTGGTGGAGATACAGTCCTTGCAAGCAAAAGAGTAGAAGGGTGTGCACGTGAAGCCTATCTGAAGAAGAGACGAACCCTGCAGAAGGACCCTCTTAGTGTTGCAATGGTCGAACACCTGGAGAAGATTGTCATGGCTGACAGGTATCCAGACCGAGACCGGGTGGCGGCAGGATGTTTCTTGTTGTGCATTTTCTTCAGGGCCCGTTTTTCAGATATGATGAACTTGCAGGATCTCATTTTGGATGAAATTGTCGTTGATGGGAGCCCCCATGGGTACATTGAAGGGAAAGTCGGTCGAACAAAATCAGCCTACACAACCGAGATGAAAACGAAGTACCTGCCGATGGTTGCACCGCGTTTTGGTGTCACCGGAGCTGACTGGTTCACCACCTGGAGGGAAGTTGGTGTCAGGTGTGGAAAACCGAGGGGTGAAGCTATGCCGATGCTGCCATATCCTTCCAAGGGCGGATGGACAAAGACACCTCTTGGAGCTGGAGAAGGTGCTGACTGGTTGCGGCAACTGCTGCAGGTGTCGGGTATCCCGCTTGGAGCGCTTGGGAACATCGGGACACATTCGCTCAAGACCACAACACTCAGCTGGATGGCCAAGTTTGGGGCCCCAATCAGTATCAGGCAACATTTGGGATATCATATGCCGAGTGCCGACAAGATGGCCCTGCTGTATTCACGTGATGCATCTGCTGGACCGGTTAGGAAGCTTGAGGAATGCCTTGCTTGTGTCAGGGAGAAGACCTTTGTCCCTGATGCCACGCGATCTGGGTACTTTCCAATGCAGGGTCGTCGACTTGAGCCTGAAAATGAACAGGCCCTTTCTGGAGTTGGCACCCCTGAAACTGACACGGTAGTGGATTTCAGTGACACAGACTCTGAAGACTCCCGCGACGATGAGCATGCCTTTGAGGAACAAAACATGAATGAGGCAGCCATGGACCACGTGGTAGGCTCATGGAATGAACATGCAACTCTTGAAGCCCTGGGAGTTCAAGAGGACGCCCCGCTCTTCAGGAACCGATTCACCAGATACATTCATTTGCTTTCAGAGGAGGGGGGCAACAAGTTTCGATGCGGCAGGGAGATCAATAACAAATATGAAGAGCTTGAGATTAGGCCGAAGTTTATGTCACCACAATGCAGCCAGTGTTTCAGAGATGCCCGTGGCTGGAAAAAAAAACTTCCTGACCCTGTGTGACCATGCTGACAACTTGAAACCATGATTCATTTTCTTTTTTGGAATCTTGAAACGCATGAGCAGTAATGCATGTTGCGCAACAATTGAACCTGAGTGCCATTTGGGCGTGACCAATTGGGTCAATCAACACTTGGTTGATGTGCTGGTTCAAGCGGCGTATTTGACGCCTTGTCGAAGGGGGTCCACTTGGGATCCCATGCAACACAAATGCATGATTTCATAAGACTGTCAGACACACCCATAATCCTTTGCTTTAATAGGAGTTTCCTCAATTACCCATAGTCCTGACCTAAGGTAATCCTTCAATACCTTCATGATAAACTGATTCCGTTTCTTGCCTTTAGGAGTTAATCTGCAATGTCACTCACTGACAGTGAGCCAAACTTCAGGGCCCGAGCGGTTGCGCTTGGATTGGCAGATGACGTCGTTGAAGCCTTGTGCACTAATGGTGTAAACACACTTGCAAAGTTTGCCTTCAGTTCTGCATATGTCCCAGGAAACTCAGATGAGGCCCCATTCGTGACGGCCATGACAACTGCTTTAGGTGCAGATCCAACCCTTGGACAACTTGCTTCACTGAGGAGGCTCTTTCACGAGGCCTACAGCCTTACAGCAGCGGAGCTTAAGCACTCAGTTGAACGAGTTGAGGACATGCCAGTAAAGAAACTAGCACAGCCTGAACGTGCAGATAGGTTGAAACGTCAGCAATCCAAACTCAAAGGTATCCGTATTGAAGGAAAACTGGAACCAAGCGACAGACTGGTCGATCTTGCAGTGTCCTTGTACGAGGAAAACAGATTGCAGCATGTTGAACTTAGCAGGTGCACTTCGAAAGAACAGGAGGTCTTGAACTCATCCCAGCGTGAGGACAAACATGTTGCAATTGACGCAAGTGGGGCTGTCCGCATACGTGACAAGGAACACAAAATGGAAGCAGATTTGTCATCAGATATGTTTGTCAGGTTGGCTTTGATGAGACGAGGCCTCGCCTTTGACCAGGCGAACTTGCTGGACTACCTGGAGCACGATAGGTGGGTTGAAAAAGTCTTTGACTGTCGCGTCGCAAGTCAACCAGACGGATATACCAAAATCAGCATGCAGCAGATTATCAACGCAGACCGGAAGTTGTTTGTGAAACTTGCAGAAGGGAGCAGGTCAGGTGTCCAGACCACAGCCACAGGCCGACCACTGGATGCAATTTTTAGGAACACCATGGAGCACCCTGATGTTTTACATTTGTTGCAGCCTTTGCCAAATAGCAGTAGCACTTCCGTCAAGAGGACAAGTGATGCCAGTCATGACCGGCCTGAGGCTAAAGTCCCCAGGCCAAAGAATAAGGGCAAGGGAAAGTCTAAGGGTCAACAAGGCGGCGGATCGCTCACCATCAAGATGCCTGTTGGGCTGGAAGGCGGGGCACCTGGAAACCGCAACAACCAGCCCATATGTTTTGACCACAACCTTCCTCATGGTTGCAAATTGCCCGTGACCAGAGGCCGCTGCCGGAAAGGTATGCATATTTGCTGCATGAAGAATTGTTTTCAGTCAGGTCATACCTTCCAGACGTGCCCAAACAAACGCAGCAACTGACTTGGGGAGTGCAATGTTTCACCTCACAACACTGGCACTGGTGACTCTACAATGGATGCAGCTGGTGCGACAACAGTGGATGATCCTGGCTTGCCCGCCATAGAAGGCGTTAAAGCGGGGACAACAAAACAGGGCGCTCCTTTGATCATAGAACTATGTGCAGGGACTGCCATGTTGAGTAAATGTTTCAAAGACAGTGGTTTTGAGCACTTGGCCATAGACCACAAATCTAACCGTTTTCACTCGTATGTCACTGTTTGCAATGTGGAGCTGTCGACAGAGCATGGATGGGCCTTCCTTCACCATATCATTGAACATTACAATGTTGTTTTTATACACGCAGCACCACCGTGCGGAACATGCAGTCGTGCCAGAGAAATCCCGCTTGGTCCTGGCGGGGGGCCAAAGCAGTTGCGTAGTGAGGACTACCCATCTGGACTGCCACATTTGGAAGGCAGAGATCTTGAAAGAGTTCAACTGGCAAATGCGTTGTATAGTGGCTTGACAAAGTTTTTGATGCAGTGCACCTTGCAGGACATTCCATGGAGCGTCGAAAACCCGACCTCTAGCTATTTGTGGCTGATTCCATGCTTTGTTAATTTGATTGCCGACACGCCTTGCAGGTTTTACAATTATGATACTTGCGCATGGGGATCTACTCGAAAGTTGCACCGATCCTTCCTTTCAACTTTGCCGGAAATGTGCGGCATCCAAGCCCTATGTCCTGGCAACCATGAACATGCCCCTTTTGGGCGCACACGGCAGAGTGATGGAACCTTTAAATATGCTACTAGCGATGAAGCAGCATATACCAAACAGCTGTGTGTTCAAGTGGTTTCCATTGTGCAGAGTGCGTTGCAACTTTCTCCGCAGAAGTTTGAGGCAGATCCCCACAATGTTGCAGTCAACCATAAAGGAATGATTGCCATGCAGAAACAGCCGGCAGGACGACGCATGCCACCTTTGATTTCCGAGTTCGAGCGATTTGAAATTGTCACAGCTGCGTCAATGCCCACAACCGATGCCAAAGGTTGCTTGACGGACTGCCTTCAACATGTTCCCAGTGGCTCAAAGCTGCTCAGTTTTTCGGAAAAGGGGGAAGGCGAGAGCAGCTTAGTTTTGAAGTTTGGTATTTACAGAACTCCCATGAAGTGGATTGACAGGTCATTGACGTTGCACCACCCGTTTGACACTTTTCATGCCGTTCCTGATCAATTGCTTGATGTATTATTTTTCATTTTGACCACGTCCCCTGCAGATGTTTGCAATTTTCGAATTTCCAAAATGAAGCTCTGGATGAGTTGGGCAGAGGAGCTTGAAGCGCAAGAGAAAGAACACAAGTCACGCCTTGACCCTGAGGTTGGACAAGTTCTTGCCCCCAAAAGGCTCCTCCTGCTCAGAAAGATAGCCTGCAGCTTGGATTGGCCTGACACCAATCTTTTTGACGAAATTGATGCGGGCTTCAAACTCACTGGAATCCAGAGCCCTTCAAATGTCTTTGGGCTTGAACCCAGACCACCGCAAGCCTCTGAAGGGGAGTTATGGGCTAGCGCGAAATTCATTAGACCTGCGTTGATTGGCAAGGTCAAAAGTGCAGCTCTTAATACTGAGAGTCAGCCATTGTGGGATGCTACTATGGAGGAAGCGGGTAACCATCACTGGATGACTGGCCCGCATACAGTTGAACAAGTTCATGATATTTTCAATGGGCAGCCTTGGATACCGGTGAGACGCTTCGCAGTTCTGCAGTCCTCTGGTGATAGAATGAAGCTCCGGCCTATTGACGATTTCGCAGAAAACCGTGTGAACACTGCCTATGGCTACTCAGATAAGTTGGATTTGCGTACTTTAGACCAGGTAGTGTGGATGACAGCTGCCATCACCCGCGCATTGGCGTTGGGGCATGTTTCATTTCGAAGGAGTGATGGAGCCCGTCTGGAGGGTAAGGTCCACTCCGCATATCTGATAGAGGGTGGTGGTCGACCTCTCCTTTCTGTTTTGGATTTGTCATCAGCATATAAACAATTTGCGATCAGTAAGGAGTGCAGGCGGCTCTCTGTCATCGCCCTTAAGGATCCTTCAGACAACTCATGCAAGTGCTTCATTGGCAATGTGCTGCCATTTGGGGCGACGGCCAGCGTGGTTCATTTTAACCGCGTGTCCCGGCTGATCCACTCCATTGGGCTCCATGCTGGACTGCTTTGGGGAAATTATTTCGACGACTTTCCAATGGTGGCACCTTGCATATTAAAACAGTCCTCAATGAACATGGCTAAGCTCCTACTCGACATGCTCGGGTTCCAGTTTGCCGACCATAAACTGAAGCCCTTTGACTCAAAAGCCACTGTCCTTGGGGTCGAGATTGACACCAGCGAATCTATGAATGGTTTTGTTCTGGTGAGGAACAAGCCCGGCAGGGTGACAGAGGTCTCGGATACAGTCAATGGAATTCTGGCCCGTGGCACGTTGACGGCGAAGGAGGCTAGCCGGATCCTGGGCCGCATACAATTTGCAGATGCCCAGGTTATGGGTCGGGTTGGAAGAATTGCCATGCACGAGTTCCGGCTTGCCATTAAAAGCCATGAGAGCGTCACCCTAGATAGGTGTGCCGTCGAGTCTCTGCACATCCTGATGGACAGGCTCACCACTGGAGAACCCCGAATGGTCCCATGTTGCGACCAGCGTCGGCCCATACTGGTTTTTACTGACGGAGCAAGCGAGGTTGCTGGTCACACCATCGGGGGTGTTATGTCCAATGACAACCGCTTTGAATATTTTTCTTGTGCAGTGCCGGAGCGCTTGGTTGAGGAGTGGGGATCCATGTTTTCCCACTTTATTGGACTTGTGGAGCTCTATGCCATTTTGGTGAGCCGGCTCCTCTGGAACGATCAACTAGTGGGTCTCGCACTATTTATTTCATTGACAACAATAGCTCGATGGATGCATGCATCAAGGGGACCTCCGGATCCAAACCCGTCCGGGAGCTGTTGTTGTGCTGGGAGAAGCTGGAAGAGAAGGCCCGGTCCTGGACTTGGTTCACCAGAGTCCCGAGTCAGAGCAACCCAGCCGATGAGCCATCTAGAGCATGTCACGACTTGATGGTCAAACTGGGAGCCGTGAGGCGTCAAGCAGTTTGTCCTCTGACAGGGGTCCCTCTTGTAGAGTTGTAAAAAAAACGTTTAATGAAAAGAAAGTGGGGAATGACTGAGATATGTGACAATGGTAAACTCTCTGTGGTGCCAGTTTCTTTGGAGACGATGAATTGCTGTGATATGTGAAAACAATAATGGAGCCAGTGGTGAACGTTTCATGTGGAAACGATGCGGCTCATTCCAATGCCTATGGAACCATAGCTCGGTGACATCGAGACTTTGCCCACGTGAAAAAAGAACAGCATGTGTGACCGAGTGAAACTCCATTGGTCAAACGAGACAAACTGATGTCCAGCCTTTCCTTTGTCATTGATGTGTTTCAGTGAATTCCGAGTGATTTTATTTGTGAAACTCCGGCGTATCACGTGCGTACTCATGTGAATATATATATATATGTATATATTTGTACGTATGTACTGATTTGGTTATCGGTTTGGTTGTATGTTTGTTTGACTGGTACGCCTATGAGTATGTTGGGTCCCCCTCCTTGTTCGTTGAACCCATGGGTTCTTTTGTTGGGGGGCCCCCTTTTGTTATATTTGGTTGAGCAAGAGTTTATAAGTTTCACTAGGCGCTAGCCTTGTTACCTTATCAACTCGCAGGTGTGGCGTGCGCCACCTCAACCCAAAAAAAAAAACCTGAACCCCCCCCCCCAAAAAAAAAGTAGGAGGGGTTGGAGGCGAGAAGAAACACTCTGTGTTTGCGAGAGACTTTTTGTTTGTGTTTCTTTTTAACTTCTGTTTCGTTTGAGCCCCAACTGTTTGAAACATTCAACCTGGTTTGTGGAATGTTTGTTATCTGGGGTCACTGCGTAATCTGTGAGTGATGCAGTTTCCCCTCAAGTGAGCTCGTTGGCAGTTGGCCAACTGTTTTTGTTCCCCCCCTTGCTTCGCACTCCCTCCCTGTCTCTCTTTGTTTATTGTCCATGTGGGACATCTTTTCTTCTCGCCCATACCCTGTATCTTTCTACATAGTTGCATGGCAACATTGCTGACACTTGGTCAGCGCATCTGTCCATGGACAGCATGTTTGGCCATTTGGGCCTTTGATCCTATGTGCTTGAGCTCTGGCTCCAGCCCTGTAAAAATCTTTGAATTTCCGTACCCCCATCCATGTTACGTGCTGCACGCCATACCAGTATCTTGCGCCTGCAAGTCCTGCTTCACCAATTCCTTTTCTTTGCCAAGGTTCGAATGACCGTCCTCCAGTTGCAATGCCACATTGAGGAGACAGTTGACCTTTTGCAGGACATGGGTTTCGACGGCCATTTTATTGTCATTTTTCTGGACCAAATTCATGCTGAACTTCAAAGATTTTTGCGTATGTGTGATCGCGCCATTGCTGGCCTCGAATACCGTCTTTTTGACATTTTTCTCCGACGACTTCGCCTTTGACTCCAATAGCAGCTTCGGGAATGACTGAGATATGTGACAATGGTAAACTCTCTGTGGTGCCAGTTTCTTTGGAGACGATGAATTGCCGTGATATGTGAAAACAATAATGGAGCCAGTGGTGAACGTTTCATGTGGAAACGATGCGGCTCATTCCAATGCCTATGGAACCATAGCTCGGTGACATCGAGACTTTGCCCACGTGAAAAAAGAACAGCATGTGTGACCGAGTGAAACTCCATTGGTCAAACGAAACAAACTGATGGCCAGCCTTTCCTTTGTCATTGATGTGTTTCAGTGAATTCCGAGTGATTTTATTTGTGAAACTCCGGCGTATCACGTGCGTACTCATGTGAATATATATATATATATGTATATATTTGTACGTATGTACTGATTTGGTTATCGGTTTGGTTGTATGTTTGTTTGACTGGTACGCCTATGAGTATGTTGGGTCCCCCTCCTTGTTCGTTGAACCCATGGGTTCTTTTGTTGGGGGGCCCCCTTTGTTATATTTGGTTGAGCAAGAGTTTATAAGGGTTCAAAGAATCGGGGAAAATCAAACGATAAACGTTTTTTTGTGGAAACCAGGTCAGTTTGTGGATGTTTGCAGATGTTTGGAATGGAAAAGAACCAAGAGTTTCACATTTTTTGTTCGTCATGACCTTAGTGTATGGCCGCGACCTTATATGGAGCTCTAGCAAAGCACAGAGCACAGTCAAACAAAAGACAGTTTCACAGTTGCAGTCATGTCCACTCTCATGCGAAGCATTTGACATGTGGCGGATTGTTTTTTTTGCCGGAAGCTTGGACGCTGAAGTCTGTTACTTAGGGTCTGACTTGCGCTCCTAGCAACAACAGCAGAGACTTTTTACCCTCGTCTTAAGTGCTGAAGCCATGGCCGAGTCATGGAGCATCGAAGATGAGAAGCAACTGCAGGCCTTGATGGCCAAGAAGGTGGTTGTTCAGAATGGTGCCAAAGGGGGCGCGATGAATGATGGTTCAAAGCGCCGCTATGTGGATGAAGAGTCAGTGGGATCCATGGACAACCCATGGATTGAAGTCACTGAGAAGAGCCACCTCAGGGTGGACTATACCAGTGTGGAGCTGGACATGCCGCCAGGCATCAACAGCCTGGAACAATGGGGTCGCACGGTGATTTCCTTTGGCAAGTACGCCGAAGCCAATGTCACCTACAATGAGGTGCTGACGGACCCACAGTATGCAGGATATCGGAAGTGGTGCAAGAGCCACCTGACAACCCATACTGCTGGCAAGGTCGCCCTGGACTTTGTCAAGTATCGGGATGCCTATGAAAAGAAGTCCAACAAGGACTCGGGACTTTTGATTCCTGGAACGGAGGTGGAACGTCGCTTCAAGTGAGTGATCTATGGGGATCTATACACTATGAGCTCTGGATTGGCTTTCAATGGAATGACAGCTGGTTGGGAGCAAGTACAATAGCCTTACAATAAGGCGGGCAAAGAGCATGGAGGATCAGTTTGATCCGTGGCAGCTACAAGATCGTTACGATCTATGGTTCCTGGAATTCAGATGAATTTGTTTGAGACTGGAATGGAAGATCACCACAATGTCGCTGATCTATTTCACCTGGTTTCGAACTCACGGCAAGTGGGGGTGTGGAAATATGGTATCGCCTTATGCCGCTGAGTTCTGCACAGTTTTGGTTACAGTGATTTTCACCATCAATGGTGTCTATGGTGAGAAGTTACAACGGTTTTGCCTGCAATAGGCATTTTGGAAGCATTTGCTCATCAAGATGAAGCAAATGGGAAATTTCGTCATCAATGATTTGGTGATGACCAGGTTTGCCTGTTACAGGCGCTTTTGGGAAGTTTGACGAGATTCGCTCATCAGAGCGGAGCAAACGAAAACATTTCATCACCAATGGTTTGGTGACTTCAATGTTTTGCCACGTTTTCATGGAGATCCAAGCTGGAAGAATATTTTGTATAGGAGTTTGGACTTTGTGATTTTTGGCTGGAAAGGAGTTTTGATGACATGCGTCATCGCCTCTGAGTTTCGAGAACTTTACAATGGAGGTTGTGAAGATTCAGATGAGTGTGGGTGATGTTTTATCACCGTTTTGTATGCTGGAAGGACAAGTGATGCGAGTTTGGACATTTCAGCGATGAGACATTGGTTTTGCATGCATGGAAACAAGTTTTAAACCAATGAGTTTTTTTGAAACAAATCGAAAACAAACAACCTGTACAAACGAGTTTTCGATGTGTTTTTGCCGAGATAGCAGTTTTCAGTTAGCAGAAGCTGTGGCGAACGTTTTGGTTTGGATGTCAGAGAACATCCACTCAGAGATGTGTGCGTGTGAACGCATTTTTCGTCTCAAAGGGAACAGGGCTCAACAGGAGCCAAGCTTGGTTCAAAGTAGGGCCACAACAGAAGCACCATAGGGAACAGCACAGACAGCTTGTTGTTTCCTTCGGTTCGCTGGAGCAAAAGTCGGAACGTGAGTGACGGACTGTGTGTTTGAGTGGAAGGTTTTTTTGAGTTTGTTAGTGGGTGTTTTCGCCCTTGCTGCCGACCCCAGGGTTTTCGCGTTGCGTCGCGTAGGTAACTTGGGTCTCTGGATTTTCACAAAGGCCGTTGCTGTAGTGGCCGCAAAAGTAAACTGGTGGAGGACCGATACATAGTCCTATGTACTGTCACGTTCATCAGAAAACAAAAAACAAAGCACCAGGAAACAAAACAACAAAACACCAAAAACAAAAACCAACACACACAAAAAGCAAACACCAACACGAACCACCAAGCAGTGACGTGACAGGAATTGAAGCAAGAGAGGTGATAGCTTAATATCATCTCGGTGCATGCAAATGACAACTTGTGTGCCATGTTGACGCAGGCCCATAAAAAAATCAACAACAAGACCCACCACAAAAACACAATGGGCCAATTCAGAGGGTGTGGGAAGCAACAAAGCTCAATGCGGAAACCAGGGATCCTCCCAGCCAGGATCCCCGAGATCACAAAGAGCAGCCTTCACGGTATGACATTCACCCTGACACTTTGAAGCAAACACCGACAACGCCGGGTCGCAACGAAAGTCTGCGTCAGGGAGAACCTGGACGATGCGCCGTTCCCACTTTCGACTTGGTCTCTGCTTCGAGATTACAAGCATTTTGCCGCCATTGTCGTAATGCCGCGGTGTTGTAAAGTGGTGCACTGTTGCAGCCCGCAGGTGTTGGACACTGCAATTTCATTTTTCGGTTGGTTTTGGCATGCAGAGATAAGTTACGTCTTCCCTTTGATGTCCTTGCAGCGCTAGAGTCTCGCACACGTGACCATGTGCTGACGACCAGTGGTTTTTTCCCCTGCTCGATCGATCGTGAATACTTGTATGGTTATGCTGCTGATGGTTACAGATCTCCTCTCTGGCTGTGTGCAGCCTATAATGGGTCCCCAGCACTTGTTCATCGACATCGAGGCCACAAGGTCTTCTTTCACGTGGGTATACAGGATCGGCAACTCGTCGTAATACCGGGTATTCATTATTTCGATGCCCATCGGTTGCAACCGGACCTCTTGGACACATTGGATCGCCAGATTGATCCAGGGTCTATGAAACTCGCAAGCCCCGAGGGTGCAGGAGACACAGTGAATGACCCCTCCTCGGATGAGGAAGCAGCCTCTACCGATGACGAGAGTGATCCAGAAGACCCTACAGTTGCATGGTGCCCACCCATACCTGATGCAGCTGAAGATCCCTCTGAAGATGAGATCGCGAGTGCAGCTGACAAGCTAGCAATCCTGATTTCTAATGTCCAACCCAACGGAAACCCTTTTTGCATACCCGAAAACCTTGGAGCTCTCCCACCGTTGTGGCTACAGGCAAGATTGACGTTGTCTTTGACTGCCATCCAAGAAAAGTTTGCGCGCATCTTGCTGAGTGTGGCCTGTGAACTGTGGTTGCGCGGGCAAATTGCCAGGGTGGAGGATGTCCTCCTGCAGGTGGCAAGGGCTCTCACAGTTCGTTTGGCAGAGAAGCTCGCCCAGGCGATGAGCTCTTTGATGAGATTGGCTGAATCCATGGTGACTCCAGAAACTGAATGCTTGCTGTATGCCACGTACTGGTTTCGGCCCATCCTGTCTGAACTCATTGGCTCGGCCCGAGAGAGCTCTGAGGTGAACCGGAGTCGAGCGCCGAGTGGCCCAGTTAAAGTCCTGGTCACAGATCGGCCGCATCGACGCATGACTGGGCTAGTGGACCTTACGAGTGGTGCCTCTGCCCTACTGGCATGGTTCCCGGCCAGCTGGGCCAGCAAAATCGCTCCCAAACTTCTCGAGAATGCTCCTGAGAATGCGCAGAAACCACAAGAAATTAACATCGCTTGCCCGAAACGTTCCTGTGACGAGACTCCGGTGGAGGGAGCAAAGCAGTTGCTCCAGGCAGTTAAATTTGCTGCCAAAAACATGCCTGGTTTTCGTCTTGGTTTGGATGTGAAGACTTTCAAATGGCTGGATGTTTCCAGGAGCTCATCCATGGATATACAACAGGGCTTGTTGAACCATACATGATGCGAGGTCTCCAACCACTGGGACCGAATCGCACTACTCTAGAAATTATCATTCCCTCTCAAGCAGGGCTCACACCCGAGAAGTGGAAAGAAACAGCCACACTGTGCCCACTTGATTGGCCTTCCAACTACAGTCTTTTGCGATTGTGGCATACCAATGGGAGCCTCCATCAAACGGAAGCGCGACTCAGGAATCAACTGTCGCACAGCCATATGTTTGCTGAGTGGACAGTGCATCTCCACAGATTTGCAGAGCGTGTCTTATTCCAGCAACCTGCAGTTTATGTAGCGGGACATGCCTTGCAAACCAACCTGCGGGAACGAAACTTCCCAGACAGGAAAGTCCGCAGGAGGGTTCCTCCGGAAGACCTGGACGAACATCAAAGGGCGATCCGAGCGCTTCTGCAGCGTGCTAGTGATCAGCAAAGAGTGAACCCAGTTTCGTTTGGGCTCACCAACGAATGGAACGACACCATTACATCAGATAAAAAGCATCATTTGGAACATTTCACGAGAGGTATGACATGATCCCCCGCTCACCCCAATTCGCATCACTTTTACCCGTTTTTTGAGTGTCCACCCCTTCTCTCTCTTCTTCTTTCCCCTCTTTTCTGTTTCACTCCGCATTGTCCCTCACGCAATATGTGGCTTTTGCTTCATCAACAATGCTGGTGGGATTTGACTTACTTTACATTTGGTCCTTTCGTCATTTCCACTTAAGATTACTGTCCATATCGGTGTGTCTGTCCAAAGACGTGACAGGTGCACTGGTATGTAGCAGGGGACTCAGGATTCCTCATGTATAATTGTCAGGTTCATTGTGTTGCGCATGCCCGGCCTCTACCTATTCAGACCACTCAAACAGTTGGTAGCCACACTCATATACAGTAGGTGTGAGTGCCAGCTAAGGGGTAACAGATCGGGCAGTATGGGTCACCTTTGCACTGGTGTTTTGAATGTGCTGTCCAGTCGAGAGCTTAGATTATACTAGGGTCTCTTCCACCATGAAGCCTATTGCACTGGCGCGTGCCCTCGCATCCTTTGCCTGACAATCATAGATGGGTGATGAAACTGATGTTATTACTCCGAGACTTAGTATTGACGAGACAACCATTCTCCCACCCTTCCCACTAGTTAAGGTATTTGAATTCGTGTATTGATCCCTAGGTTTTGCCCTTAGCAGAGCTACCTTGGGTGTTGGTGCCTTGTATTATGGTTCTGTTTTGTTTGTTTGTTCCCTGCCTGACGTGGCCCCCCCTCCCCCTCGGATGGTCCTCTTTGGCGCCTTGGTCCAGGTTTTACTGGTGCCTCCCTCTGGGTATCGTTGCTTCCGGCGACGGCCTGGCTGCCTTGCCTCTGTGCGTGGAGTGTTGTGGCGCATTGTCTCCCCTCTTCATTGTGTCTCATGGCAACAAAGGCCTGTGGCCCTGTGTGGGGATCTGTCCCTCTACACCATGCTTCCTGTGTTGTTGGGGTGCTGTGTGCTCCTTCACTGAGGTATTCATCCTTGTATGATCCTTGGCCCCTTTTTGGACACCGCTAAGGCACGTTCGTACCCCTTCTGGTGCGTGTGTGTCACGTTCTCCATCTGTCCTCTGCTGCCTCCTGGCTCCTCTCCTCTCTTCTTCTGTGTGGTTCGGAGTGTGTGGTGCTTTGGCCGCCCCCCTCTTCCTCTTCCCCCCCTTGATGGCTGGGTTCTTGTTTGTTGGTTGCGTGTTGTTTGTTGATTCTTTTGCCTGGATACCGAGGATACCACCCTGCATAATAGCTCTGTCGTTTCACCCTGGCTACATTGGTCTTATG